ATCTCCGCGAAGTCAATTAAGTAAGTTCAATTTTAGTGAAAGCTGAGACCGTGTGGCTTGGGAGATTAAGTATAGAGTTTCCAATTTAATGCCTTGAGTGTGTGTCTTCAATCTGTGTAACTGGCTTATTCTGGGAACTGAGACCTATTTTATTTCTCAGGGAATGATGGTTCCGCTACCAATACTCTTTAAGGCTTAGACCACTGGGGGGTTTTGTTGTTGGTTGAGACTAAACAAATGGAGAAAACACGTGTCCCACTGTAACACACTAGAAACATCTTTATTTTCACTGGTGACAACAAAGGCCACCAGTGGTCAGAATGAACTGCTGAATTCCTTGCTTTTCCCCAAGTATGGATTTAATCTACAGCACATGCGTTTCTTGAAACTGTTTCTTTGCTCGTAAGAATTATTCTCCTGAAATACCCACCCATCAAAAAGAAAGGGGACAGTATTGATTTTCAGAATTCTTATTCCTGTTCCATCGGTCAGCAATACTGGAAAGAGAATCAAAGGCCAAAGAGAATTGGGATTGAGGTGGAAGGCTGAACTTACCGATGCGGGGGCTACAGGACTGTGCTCTAACGGGCTGAGCAATAAAGGCCAACGACTAGTGACTAGAGAAAAACAAGATGCAGGCAAACTCACCCGGGAAAGTTAACACTGTCAGGTACTGGAATAGTCTGTTGAGGCTCTAGGTATGTTTTCTGGAGAGTCTGAGGTCTGGAGAACACCGTTCTGGGCAGAACTCATAGCTGAAGAGTCAACAGAAAGTCTCTCCAACCCAGGCACATGGGGCTATAACTCACACGAATGTTGTGGGTGTTTTTTAGAAAAGCAACAGAAACTCAAAAAGGACAAGTTGGTTCTTTGTCCTCTCAATTTTAAAGCAAATAGCCAGCGTTGCCTGCCTTCTCGCTGACGCATCCAGGGTGCCGTGCAGGGTCAGACGCTATTCTGTATTTGCAACGAGAGTGGATGCTCAGCATCTGGTGGGAGGTATCTGAATGGGAAGCAGGAGCTGCTCATGTTTTCAATCAGGATGAAGGCGGAGGATTTCAGGACTTACTTTTCCATAGAAAGAAATGTTTGTACCCATTCTGCTTTTGCTGACTGGGATTTCGAGGTGCTTCTTGGGGGCTGTGGCCATTTGTGACGTCGTGGAAGGAGCATCTGCCCCAGCACGTTCTGATGTCCACTTCACTTTCCGGTTTGTAAAATGGGACTAAGATGCCCTGCCTGCCCCTCAGGGTTGCCACAACCATCAAATGAGCTAGACAATGAGCTCTTTCCCAGGCACCTGTAAGTGTGGCTCTGCTGTGGTCCCAGGATTTGTTCTTCCAGTCACTGAAATCCCTTTAACCCTCACAGGAACTCTTTGAAGTTGTCATACCCATTATATAGGTGAGGAAACAGAGGCTTAGAGAAAAAACGTTGCCCACGATCACACACTAATAAGTAACTGAGGAGGGATGAGAATTCGGGTCTGATTTCAAAGCATTCTGGAACAATTGAATAAGTGGTTTTCCACTTTTCCTTAAAACAATTCCCTGCTTCTTTCCCTGGCTTTTGTTCCAGCTGACCGCTCCAGTGGGTTTGAATAATTGTAAGTCAATTCTTAGCTAGGGAAGCAGTCCTTAATTATCAGGGGGGCGGGCGGGGGGGGACAGAAGGCTGCATCTTCCAGGAATTTGGAAGACCCCAGCAGGAGGCAACCACAGGCCTTTGGCAAAAGATCACTTTTCAACAACATTGTCAATTTCAGTGACCCCTGACCTTCCACCTGCAGGTCCCTGAACAGCTGCTGTGTTATGGGAGGCAGTGGCAGTCTGTCTTCTTTTAAAAGGCAAATGCATACCCCCCCTCCCTGCCCCCTGCTGAGATCCCACCTGGGATTTCAGCCCCAGAGCTGGGGGTCATCTCCCACATCCAGAAATGAAGCAAAAAAAAAAGGCAGGGAGTACAGCTTTGACAACTGACCTGAACTCTTCTTTTTAATATAAGCCAGGTTTAACATACGTCATTCTGTAAATCCGGGAGTCCAATTTGAGGCTTGTAATTTGCTGCTCCTCCGAGTGAGGTGGAGCCTTGCCAAGCACATCAAGGTAACCGAGGGAAGATATAATTTGCCCGCTGTGAGCCCGCGTTGCAGTTCCCTATTGTAATTTTTATTTGTGTTGAGGTTTTGCGGTTTTTAAAGAGTCAAGTAGATTTATTTTAAAATTAAGGCGGACCAACATCAAAGGCAGGCAGAGGAGGATGTTTCGGTATTATGGGGAAACCCCGTGTAATCTCCTAGAGCCGTGTTCTTTCTCAGGGTACGTATCAGTAAATGGTTAGGGGCCTTTCACAGCCAGCTTGCTGACCTCAACCTACCCCCACAGGCGAAAATCCCTTTCCGATGGGATTTAGAAGCCCCCTCTCTCCTCCTCAGCCACTTAATCTAATCCTGTTTGTAACTCGGCATGCTGCGTGAAGAATAAGAAACTCCAAGCTGTCCTTTCCTACCGTGCAGGCTCCTGAGATACCGGTCCGATGGGGCCAGTGGTTCCCTTTCAGATACTAGGTATCCTTTCAGGCCAAAAAATGGACCATTTGGATCATGAGTCATTTACTTGGTAAAGGAGAAGAAAGTTTATGTTGAAAGTTTCTCTTAAAAGGAATAGCAGGTGACACCTGAAGCGCTAGAGTGTTTTTTTGTTTGTTTGTTTATTTTTTTGCTTGTTTTTTTTTTTTCGTACTACGGGATTTTTTTGCACCCACTTACTTATATAAAATGTATTTGTCTATTGGCTCATGTAGGAAACGCATGTGCTTTCTGTTCTAGGCACTTTAAGTGATAGAGATAGGTAGAGAAATAGGTAGATGGGGTGTAGATTTGTAGATACAGGCTCACAGACAGATCAAATTGTTCCTCAAAAAAGCTTTTTAAGAGAGGTGCTATTATTCCCACTTACAGGTGAGCAGATTGAGCCACACCAGCTTCTCACACTCTACAAATGTGTCTCTTTAAAAGGGAGATGAGCCCTAGCTGGTTTGGCTCAATGGGTAGAGCATTGGTCTGCATACTGAAGGGTCCCAGGTTGTATTCCTTTCAAGGGCACATGCCCGGGTTGCAGGGTGATCCCCAGTAGGGGGCATGATCAGATGCAGGAGGCAGCTGATCAATGATTCTCATCATTGGTGTTTCTATCTCTCTCTCCCTTCCTCTCTGAAATCAATAAATTATATATTGATTGGGAGAGGAGCATAAGCTGTACAATGTCTTCTGTGCTCCGTGTTGTACTGGCTTTGAAGTTGTTGCACTTCTGATGGTAACCAGGATCCTTGCAGATCATCAGGCTCATATTTTGTTCCGAGAAGACCAGTGGTGCCAAAACAGATGTCCTGCAAAACCCCTGGCAGAAGAAAATGTACACTAACAGGTGGCATTTGTAGGGCTCAGTGTGCATGGAAATGCCCAGGGCACAACCATGGACTCACAGTGACTGATGGTTTCCTGGTCTTGTGTAGTACAAATAATGCCACGGCGACACCTTCAGTCATTATGACCCACAATCTTGCACTGACAGGAAACTCTCAGAACAGACAGAGGTGGGAACCAAATTTTTCAGTCAACATAGGCTGTTGCTTGTTCTGTGAGACTTACTATTTGTTAAGTTGTGGGTCGTATGGAAAGCAACCTTGGAGGTAGGAAGTGGCCCTCACTTCACTTTTCTTTCATTTTGTAGAGGAAGTGGGCTTTGGAATTGAATCCTGGTTCTTCAGCTGCTAACTTGGTTTATCTGAAGAAATCATTTCACTTTGCTAAGCCTTAGTTTTCTCAGCTGTAAAATGGGAATGATAAACCTAATTAAGGAGCTAATGTACATAAAACAGCACAATACTGGATGCATACCAAGTTTTAATATTAAACTGCTGCTCCATGCTTAATAAAATCTAAGGAGACGGTTCAAGTACATTAGAGTGTGGTAGAGAGCTCAAATATACACAAATAATAGTGTGAGGATTGCTGTAGCATAGATATGTTCTTTGGGAAGGTGCGGTGAGCGTCTCCTGGTTGAAGGAGTTGGGTAAACTTCAAAGAGAAGGTGACTTATTTTCTGGGTTTTCAGTGGAAAGTACTAGTATGGGATACCACTGGGAATCTCTGCAATAGATTAAATATAGGCTGGAACTGACCTGCCCTGTAGTTAACAAAAATTATGCCTTGCATCGCTATTGATTTGTCTATAAAATGAACAGTTTTATTGGTATTTATTGGTAAGCATGTATATTGCAGAATAGGCTTGGTTATAATTCCAGTAAATCCAATTATGTTAAGGGTAGCTATATATACAAGGTTAGGAATGAGAAAAACTCGTAGAGGCTAGAGACATACAAGGGTGGGTAAAAGTAGGTTAACAATTGTGTGTATGTGAAACACAGCTTATTCTTGTATTATTATTTATTAATTATTATATTATTTCCAGACAAACAGCTGTAAGCCCACTTTTGCCCACCCCATATAATTAATAATCTATAAAACACCCTAGTAAATTCAAGAGGAAAAAATGTGTTGAAATTATGATTCATCATTCCACGTATTTGTAACCATATTTAATAGCCTAATTAGCAATAAAATTTTACGAGTTAACATCACCATGGGAACATTACACTCCCTTCTACATTACCGAGTTTTATCTGTAGATTTGTAATGTTACCATAATCATCTAGATGTGTTTCTACAGTGAACCCAAATGAACTTGCACTAATTAGATTTTTAGCTGCCAGTCTTGCTTTTATAAAGTTGAATCCATATACTTTCAGAGGATGTGTGCTATTTGGGGGTGGTGAATTCTTCAGATCTTCCTAAATTCACAAAGACCCATGGGAGAGAAAAATAATGTAGCAGAGTCTCAATTATCTTTCCTAAATGATAATTTCACAATCTTTAACTTGAGACATTTCTCGAAGAGGCTAAAAAATATATACTAAGACTCCTTTCTGGATATTTTCAGAACTCCTAGTTATAACTATGCACCAAATATGGATAAACACTGGATTATGCAGTACACGGGACCCATGCTGCCCATCCACATGGAATTTACAAACGTTCTACATCGCAAAAGGCTTCAGACTTTGATGTCAGTGGATGACTCTGTGGAAAGGGTAAGCATATGAACTTGCCTGACTTACAGGTTTTTGTCCAACTTCCCATTCTTGTCCGACCTGTTTTGTTATTTTTGTTTGTGTATGTGTGTTTTTTTCAGGAGAAGTGAAAGAGAAAACTTGTCAGCCCTCCCTTATCTTATGCTCCCTTCTAGTACCTCTCTAGGCTTGGTTCTTAAGGAGCCAATAGCAAAGAGGACATAAAAAGCAAATCATTATAAATTCACGGCTACACCCACAAATACCTTCAGGAATTAAGCAAATAATGTAAATAACTAAAGCAGGTCCAGCAGAAGACAATAGGGAGTGGTGAGGATTGTGATCAACTTGAAATTAAGCTCCATCTAAAAAGCAAGGAGCAACTACTCAGCTCCAACTAATTCGGGCATGTAGAGTGTGGATCCAGAAATACAAAAATTGTATTTGAAATTCCATTGATTTTAAAACAACGTAAGCCAAGCAAGACCTGCCTACAGGCTAAATCTAGCTGGATCAGGCTCAGAAACAGCCTGTTTTTAACCCTTGATGAATAGTTGTAAGAGTGATGATATTAACATTTGCTTGAACAATGAATTTTTCAAAGTAAAACCTATAAGTTTGGTGGTGGAGGTTGCTTTGTGTGTTTTTTCCCTTGCACATAGGTGAACAAAAACGTTTACGGAGCATGAGCCAGATTAAAAAATGTTACTTTTCAACTGTATTATTGGACTTTTTTCCTCCAAGATTGTAAGCAGCAAGAACATGTAGTTAACATTCGCCTTTGTCAGGCCTACTAAAGCAGTGGTTCTCAACCTTCTGGCCCTTTAAATATAGTTCCTCATGTTGTGACCCAACCATAAAATTATTTTCGTTGCTACTTCGTCACTGTAATGTTGCTACTGTTGTGAATAGTAATGTAAATACCGGATATGCAGGATGGTCTTAGGCGACCCCTGTGAAAGGGTCTCTCGACCGCCAAAGGGGTCGTGACCCACAGGTTGAGAACCGCTGTACTAAAGCAACACTTAGCCTTTTAAAAATAATGGGGAAAAGACTGGGGGAAATCATTGCCATGCTGTTGCTGCTGTAGGCCATCACAACTGCTTCTGACTTGTCGCTGGGCTGTGTTGCAGCTGTATAACATGCTGGTGGAAACCGGGGAGCTGGAGAACACGTACATCATCTACACGGCCGACCACGGGTACCACATTGGGCAGTTCGGACTGGTCAAGGGGAAGTCCATGCCATATGACTTTGATATCCGAGTGCCTTTCTTTATTCGTGGGCCAAGTGTAGAACCCGGATCAATGTACGTATTCCTCTGCGTGCGACGTTCAGCTGTCGTAGCTCATGTACATCTGAGATAATTCGATTACTAATCTCCGTGTCTGGTTTCCTTTCATCCAAACAAAAAAGATTGCATGTAGGTTGGTAATTTAGAAGACGAAATCCTACACCTCCCTTGCCTCGCCACATGTTAATTTAATGAAAGTATACAATTTAAAGAGGAAAAATAACTGGGCCGATGATTAATTCTCTGAAATTGACCAGAATCCATGTCACACGGGCCTGTGTACACAGATATATGATACGAACATTAGAAACATCATCCTTACTTTGTTTGAGTCAGAGATACACTATTTTAACGCATGCCATCCATTTTCTTAGTTTTTTGTTTGTTTTCTTAAATTAATACTAAAGAACTTTTTAAAATTAAATATTTTAAAGCATGATTAAAAAAAAAGAAGCCTAAAGGACTGGCGTTCCATTCCTGTCACCTTAGACAAGCCACTGCATCTCTCTTTTCTCACCATAATAGGGGTTCATGTGCCCTGCCAACCACAACAGAATGTTTTCTATAAAATGAGAACGTGTGGAAGAAAAGAATGCAAGTAGAATTCAAAAGCTGCAAGGGGCCTTACAGAGCATCGAGCCTAGACCCCCGATTTAACGAAGAAACTCACACAGCAACAGTGCCTCCCTCTCAGAGTCCCGGGTCCCGGAAGTAGTGGCGCCGGAGCCCAGACCTAGATATCTGACTCTCCCCGGAGAAGGCGATGGCAGAAAGAGGGGTTTCTAGGGAAAACATTATTATTCTCTTCAAACCATTAGAAATTGTGGAATCTAGAATTAGAAGGCTTTACGTTTGACAGTCTAGGTGATGTGGATTGGATTCATCTGTAAAAACCTTCTGTCTTTCCTTAGAATTCGATTTTATTTATTTATTTTTTATTACTTTATTGGGGTGACATTGGTTAATTAAGATTATGCACCTTTCAAGTGTAGATTCCAATAATACATGATCTGTATATTGCATTCTCTGCAATATAGAAATCGATTTTAAAGCCCTGGTTTAACAGAAGTTACAGGCTGTCGGGTTTTAAATATATATATTTATATTTTTAATTGATTTCAGAGAGGAAGGGAGAGGGAGAGAGAGATAGAAACATCAGTGATGAGACAGAATCATTGATTGGCTGCTTCCTGCTGGGGATCGATCCCACAACCCAGACACCAGCCCTGACCGGGAATGGAACTGTGACCTTCTGGTTCATAGGTCTACCCTCCACCTCTGAGCCACGCCAGCTGGACCAGGCTATCAGGTTTTAAAAGAAAGTAGACACCCTTACAAAAACCATTATCAGGCCTCGATTTGTGTGCCAGTGTGGCCAGAGCTCAGGGATCTGGGCATCTCTCCAGTGACCCCTGAGACAGTCAATTAATTTGTCCCCATGCCGTCGCTGCTGACCACTCAGCTGTGGCCAAATGCAGCTCCCTTCCCTCGGAGGCCAGGTAAAGGGGATGGGCACTGCAGGCCAATGAGTCACGGTGTGGAGAAAGCAGCCCCACGTGCCATCCTCCACTGCCGTTGGCTCTGCGGCATAACCACCTGTGCCGTTGCAGAGTCCCACAGATCGTCCTAAACATTGACCTGGCCCCTACGATCCTGGACATCGCTGGACTCGACCCACCTCCCGATGTGGACGGCAAGTCTGTCCTCAAACTTCTGGACCTGGAAAAGCCAGGAAACAGGTGTGTCAATTTTCTTTCCCACAGCCAGGCCCAAGCACACTGGCTCCCAGAGCCAGCCAGCAGCTGAAGGAGGTAGAAGCCCAATAGCTTTCTCTCCCCACGAGGATCACGCCCCACTGAGAATTTCCCAGTTGTTTGTATGTAGCATGTGATGGAGACGCACTCATGGTCTGCGGGAAGTGAGAGGTGTTCCTTTAAACAAACTGTTAGCACAGACCCGTTTGGAAAGACGTCCAGCTGCCAACTGTAAATATTATTATTTTGCTTGCAGGTTTCGAACAAACAAGAAGGCCAAAATTTGGCGTGATACATTCCTCGTGGAAAGAGGGTAATTATTGGTTGCTCGGGTGCTTCTGGAAACCAGTCCTTGTGGGAAGCGCTCCCTGCTGGGTACCCCCCCCCCTTATTTTGGGTTTAAGCATACAGATTTCATAAGTCTAGTAACAAAATTGAATGGTCTGCTAGTCATTCTTTGCTGGCCAGCAGAATAATGATTGTCACATCAGAATTGTAAAGAATAAATTCTCATTAGCCGTTACATGGCTGTGGATTTTACTGTTGTTTTCTCAGCCTTAGTTCCTAATCGGACCAGTCAATGAACTTTCTTAACCTTCCTTCCCAGGTTCTATCTGGCACCTTTCTGCTTCTTTTCCTGATGTGCCATTCTTAGTTTTAAATACATAAACATTGGAGATTGTGATTATTTCCATAGTTTGCTTCTGGGAACCAGTCCTAGTGGGAAATGCTCCCTGCTGGGTACTCCCCCCCCCCCTTATTTTGGGTTTAGGCATACAGATTTCATAAGTCTAGTAACAAAATTGAATGGTCTGCTAGTCATTCTTTGCTGGCCAGCAGAATAATGATTGTCACATCAGAATTGTAAAGAATAAATTCTCATTAGCTGTTACATGGCTGTGGATTTTACTGTTGTTTTCTCAGCCTTAGTTCCTAATCGGACCAGTCAATGAACTTTCTTAACCTTCCTTCCCAGGTTCTATCTGGCACCTTTCTGCTTCTTTTCCTGATGTGCCATTCTTAGTTTTAAATACATAAACATTGGAGATTGTGATTATTTCCATAGTTGCTTCTGGATTTCCCCTTTAGATTTATAATGCTCAGTGTCCTTGTTTTTCTCCATACACACATGGAGAGAAAGCATTCCTATCATTGTTTTTCAACAAAAAGAATTTTGAGTCTCTGAAGCTTAAATATAGGTCCAAAGCTTTGAGGAGAAATCAATACCTGACCTCTCATCTTCATAGTACCCAGCTCATCACGAGGGACCCATCAAATGTTGAACACCTGCCGTCAGAGCCTTAACATCTATTTCTTGCTGTTTGAGGAATGTGGAGTCATGTGACAGGGAAGAAAAAGAGAACAGGCAGGTGGTAGGGAAGGTAACTCAAATCACTTCTTACTTAGAAGCTTTTCCATTTCTGTCAAAGGAAATTTCTACGTAAGAAAGAAGAATCCAACAAGAATATCCAACAGTCAAATCACTTGCCCAAATACGAGAGGGTCAAAGAACTGTGCCAGCAGGCCAGGTACCAGACAGCTTGTGAACAACCGGGACAGGCGAGTACACAGCTTTCTTCACCCCCATGCCTATGCTTCTCTATTTCTGATTTAAAGTATTTTTAACATATAATGTGCATTTAGATATAAATCAATTTTTCCTAACAGTCATGGATGGCTCACAGTTACACCTCTCCCCTGACTGAGAATTGTCTACCTCTTCCAAGCTGGGCCTCCTCATCACTGCTTGGGCTTCCTTCAGTTACAGGAGATGGTGCTCTCAGAGAGAGTTCTAGATATCCACCTACTGAGCCAAAACCCGTTCAGGTTACCAGATACACGAGAATGGTAGCCCCGTTAGAAAGATCAGAGACTCATTCCATCTGAGGATAAGGCACCCTCCCTGGAACTCTTCTTAACTGGTCATCAAGAGAGGGTTGAAAAGCCACTTAGTCAAGTTCATGGGCAGATGCTGAGCCCCAGGAGACATGATGGAGTCTTCCTACCCTGGACTTTATAAAGTCAGACATCATCTAACTCAGAGAGGAGGTGAAACTCTTTGACCAAGGTTGGGGAGTGACAAAGGAACCATATTCTGTTGGTTTATTGTTTCTACCTCTGCTCACAAAATTTCCAACCTCAAATATTTCATTAATAAAAATATTAGTATAGATTTCAGGGCTACCTATAACACCATCTGTTATCAATAAGAACTAAAGAAATGCAGGGTGATGAATTAACACAGACCTGTTTTTAAGGAAAGTGAAAACATATAAACACAAACCATTTGAAGCACTTGTGATTGAAATCTCTACTAGCTCAGAGAAATGCTATGTCACAATGAGAGGAACTGAATTTCTGCCTACTTAGACCAAAGTCATTGCATCTTAGACCAAAATCAGAGGAAAGAGAAAAATAACATTTATTGAGCATTTTCTTATGTGAGACACTGTCCATGGGGTTTTCTCTGCATTAGCTCACTTTAATCCTCACATCTGCAGAGTGAGGTAGGCATTGTCATCGCCATTTTACCAATGGGCAGCTGGTGAGTGGCAGAGGTGGAATCCAAATGAGTTGTCTGATTCAGGGTAAGTTACATCCAGTAGGCGAAGCGAAGTTTAAATCTTCTAAGCCTCTTATTAAAAAACTTACCTGACCTCTAGCTATCCCCACAATTAGCCAACACCAGTTCAAGGTATCAGACGCATGAAATGAAGATCCTAGTTATTATTAAAATGGCCTGGTTTGTTGCACTCTTTTTAGATGGCATCCAGCTTCTTGAAAAGACATTCACAATAAACAACTTGATCCTCCCACTCTCTGCATTTCCTCATGCCTTTTGTGCACAGGGATCCCTTTGAAACAGAGCAGGGCGAGGTGGAGCGCTGTTGAAGGAAGGGGTAACACCAGGCCTTCCCGGTATTCTAGTAAGTCTTAATTTTCAAGTGTTTAGTGGAGAACCTTAGGCCTATTCATTATATTTTAATTTGAACTCTTCTAATCCTTCTTATGGAAGCTCTAAGTATTATTGTGACTAAAACCTCAGAATTGTTTTGTAGCTCTAGCAGGATTTCCATGCGCCAGCCTCCATGGCCTAATTTACTTCTGTTCCGTAGCTGGAAGTGTTTGGTGTGAAATATCTCTCATGCAAATGGGTGACCTTGTGACTATTTTAGGCCTGTAAGCAACTGGCATGATTACCATTTTGCACTGCCTACCTTACAGTACATAATTTTGTAAACCTCTCTACAGAGTTTGTGCTGAAATTTGAATATATGCTCTAAAGGGCAAACGGAGCATAAAATTTATTATGATACTTTGGCCCAGACTCTTCACACATGTGCTCAACTTCAGTTTGCTCTTTCATATTTTTCTTGACTTGTTTTGCCCCTGTGAAATGCTCCACTATCTGGCTCCCTGGAATTTTCCTCTGCTGCTGTCTTTCTGTGCTAAGCAGCTGAATTTTGATTCTATCACATGAATATATGAGGACTTCAGCAGTGATCTCTTTCAAAGAGCCTGAAGTCATGGACTAAGGAATTCGACTTTGCCCCTGAAGGTGATTTCTTTAAGAGTCTGAGAACTTCAAAAAAGTTGAACCTCCTCAAGGCGACTATTGAACCTGTCGGGCAAACCTGACATAGCTTAGTTGTGTTCTACGGAATCATGGTATTTTGCCCTTTTTGCTCTCTCTGGCTACTTTGAAGATTATCTTTTTAGTTTCAATATCACTAACTTTTAAAAAAGGAAGAAAAAGGTTCAGAATAATGAGATTATGTTGTTCAGGATCAAGGCGACAGTTGGCTAGAACTAACTAGCTTGGAATCTGTCCTCTTGACATTGACCCTCCATGGGGTACAGAGGAAAAACCAGCACTATCAGCCCGTTCCCTTCCCACCCCTCAAGGTCTCCTAAGGATTCTGTGGGAGGACCAATGTGGATGCATGAAGTCAAGTACATTTTTAAGAGATGAATTGAAGTCACAGGTTTGGGTTAGAATATTGGCATCCACTACTTTCTAGTGGTGCGTTCTTGGACCAGACGCTTAATTTCTCCTGAGTCTCAGGATTTCTATGTCTAAAATGAAGAAAATCAATCTCAATCTTACGAGGATAAAGTGATATCATATATGCACAGGCTGGGTGAACCATAAGGCAGTGTGCGAATGTCGGGTGGTGGTGTCATGCCAGGCTGTCTTACCTGTTGTCTTCATTCCTAGAAAGCCAGCAGGGAATGGAAATGGGCTGGAATCCCAGACATTTGGCATCCCTTCTGGCATCTCTTCCCCACTATGGGAACAGAACAATCAGCAGGGATTAGATAGGATAGCGTGGCCGTGTGTGTGTGTGTGTGTGTGTGTGTGTGTGTGTGTTACTTCTGTGTTCCTGAATTAATATGAGGCTGAGTGTGAATTCCCAGCACCCTCTCAGCTGGAATTACACCCTAGCACATCTATGTACAAAGATACTACACACATCGACTCTCTCTCTCTCTCTCTCTCTCTCTCTCAAAAAAAAAAGAACATGGACCCGTGATACTCAATTCTGGCTGCACATCAAAATCACCTGGGGAGCTTTTGAAAATATTGATGCACAGCCTCACTCCAGAGCGATCAGATTACAACGTTCAGAGGGGAGGACAAAGCAGTAGTATTTTTCAATCGGGTTAAGAACCACAGGCCCTGAAGAAGAGAATGCCAGAGGTGGCAGGGGAGTAGAAATCTTCTAGTTGGATGATATCATTTTCTTAAGAAGGAAATTTAGAGCCAGAGGACTTAAGCTACAAACCCAGAGTCAGAACCTGTACCTGTTCATTGCATGTTTGATCATTTCTTCCCCACAACATGCAAAAACATAAGAAAGTAGATGTTCCCTTGGAAATTCTAAATGGCATTTGCCTGGCTGCAGGCATGGGTGTAGGACCCACGCCCAGCACCCGAGACGGTGGTCTCAACCATGACCACACGTTGGAAACGCTGCTATTCAAGTCCTGCTCCAGACAAATTAAATCAGAACCTCTGCGGGTGGGACCAGGCATCCGGCGTGGTTGTTTCTGGTTTTGTTTTTGTTTTTCAAGCTCCTGCATGATTCCTAGGAGCAGCTAAGGTTGAGGATCATTCATATGGGGTCAGCATAGTTTTCCTTTTTTTTCCCCCCCTAGGTATAGATATTGACTCTTAAATAGGAGTTACATAAAAAGCAGTTCCCTACGCACCCAATTCTGGAGGACATCTTACACATGTTCTGTCACTTAAGAGGAAAAATTGTTTTGTTTTTATGCAGCAAATGCCATGTCCCCTTGTGGGGTTGTCGAGTGCCAGCATCTTTGCAGTGTAGTTCGCTTTTATACCTGTGTATCCATACAGAATCACAGATTGGTAAGATTCTAAGAGGATCCCAGCATCTAGCAAAGGAAATAAGAAGGCAGCTTGTTGAGTGTAAACTGGTTTAGTTCCAGGATTTCTGGTCTCATCTGAAACTCATCCCTCAGACCTTCTGTGATCAGCTGCAGAGCAAAGATAAAGAGACATTTACCAGCAAGATCTGGCTAGATTGTTCGCTGGCCAGAAATTGACGGCCTGTGGCCAGGAACTCCCTGAGTGTCGGTTAAAATCACAGCGAGGCTTCCAGACATTGCCTGGGTTCTCCTGATTCCAGAGGGTCCGGTAGGAAGGACTGAGCCCCAGTGCTATTCTCTGGCTGAACTCTTGTCTGCACCCAGAGTTCAGACAAGTCCCATGTGGACAGCTCAGCCTCTAACCCCTGCCTCCTCCCCTCCTCACCCTGCACTGAACAGCTGTGCATCTGCTTAGAATCTATGTTTTGGCTTCTGTGCATTTTTCAGAATACAAACTGCAGGGTTAAACGTCAAACCATATTTAGTGATGTCCCCAACAAGCCAGAGACAAATGTGAGGACAGACACTAAACTCTATCCTGCAGCCCCACCCTGTTTGATTTCTGCTGCAGTATCTTATCTCCCAGGACTCCCTAGCATAGCCCAATTGCTCAGGTTTCCCCCCTTCCTGTCGCTTAACTGTAGCTTTCTCATCTGAGTGTAAGTGGTCGCCTCTGCCTTCCAAATGCCAGCCCCTTGACTGAGGCCCACCTGATGCCTCAAACTCTGTCCCTAACCTTTCTCCTTTGTGGTTGGTGTCCTGGTCAAGGTGCCTTAGAATTGCATCTTAGCTTCACCACTTTCTTGAGTATGTGACACAAGCAAGCTACTTAATCTAACTTTGCCTCAGTTTCTTTATCTGTAAAATGGGCATAGTAATAGCACCTGTCTCAGAGCACTGCTACAAAGGTTAGACCTGTTAAATATACTAAGTACCTGGCAACACAGCAAGCACTCAGCCAATGCTGCCTATCAATTATGGGCCAAGATCAATTCACCGATTTTACTTTTCCCTGAATTGCAAGGACCATACTTCTTCCAACAGTCCAACACTGACTTTTACAAATGTTTATCCAGATGAAAACATAGAGGAGGAAACGCTCTCTATCTCCTGCTTCTCCTTCCTTTCCGCTTTTCCTCTCCCTATCCCTGTCCCCCCATCTC